CTAACGCTAAGAAAATACCCACAAGCAGTAGAAATCCATTAATTAATGCGTTCGAAGCTTATGTACTTGCGACAATGACATTGAAGATCAAATGAGATAAACACATCACTGATTTCAAAATAACACATCAATGAACTATAATTCGAGGACTCTGCACACAACAAAGTTATGTATGAATATTTACTTCAAGCTTTATTTTTTTCCCAGGCACTTATAATCCATCCACCAAAGACCTGGTTTTTTTGTTAATGCGAAGACAATACTCCTGTACTTCCTGTTGTGTTGCACTCACTGACAATCTAGCAGATTTTTCCAAATTTGCACAGAAATGATTGTATATAAGTGAAAAGGCTGTTTTATACTACTGGGATTAACATTTATAAAGTGTATGTATAATCTCCAGCGAACATGTAAAGCATATCTTGCTACTGCCTGTAAATTGTGATTGAATTATATGGTTCTATTTCTGTAACAATTTGATGATGCCTGTAAACTGGCGTCCCTCATGTACTGTACTATGAGAATAAATTTATTTATCCTCTGCTGTATTCACTGAAGCCGGAGTCCCCCAAGGTGCTGTACCCTCCCTACTTCTCTTTTCTTTCTTTCTACATGACTTACCATCTTCAAATGACATTAATTTTGTCAAATACGCTGACGATCTGTCTGTATCTTTGCCTATCAAATGTCAAAGTGACTTCTCTAACCTTAATGGCTTTCTGTCAGAAATCAGCCAGTGGTCCAAGGAAAATGGTCTTACCCTAAACCCCTCCAAATGCCAAACGGTCAATTTCACCTTTAGGCATGAATCCGACATAAAAAAAACTGGTTGGCTCTTACGAGGTGTGCAACATAGATGGCACTGAAATAGAAACTAAATCGGAAATTAAATACCTAGGCGTCATTCTATCTTCTGATCTCTCCTGGTCGTCTCATATCTTAGCAATTTCTAAGAAAATATTCCGTCTTACCCTCTAAATCAAGAAGTTAAAACATTCTGGTATTACCCAACCCTTACTCCTACAATTCGTTAATTCTCGCATCCTGCCTATTATTCTCTATTGTTCCCCCTTAGTTTTTCCCGGGCTACTGAAGAAAGACTATAACATATTACGCAGGATGTTAAATGTTGTCAGCAGGGTAAGCAAAGTGCCACTTAACCAGCTTATTAATATTCTGGTCGACAGGCATATGGACTCATGTGAAAAATGGGTCAAATCCATTTTATCTAACTCACACCACCCTCTTCACTCACAACTCTCCCCTTGCATCTCATCAGGTAAAACCAGAAGCCAATATAGAAACTATATGCTCGCACCAGCAAGTACAAAAACTCAACCAAACCCTACTTAGCTCGTGTTCTGTGTGATAAAGAAAGCATTAGGCGTGACACCTATACTTCATTAAATAGTCTGTAGTACAACTGGATCTCGTCTTTCCAACCCACATCATCAATAGGTACAACATTTTCTTCTTTCTTTTCCTTTTCTCTCTCTTTCCTTTTCCGTTATGTGCTGCTTTGTCTCCTTTTCTCGCTTACGCCAGTTAATAAGACAGCTCCCACTTTTCTAACAGCTTGAAACACTGTTCAACTTTGGCTTTGCTACTGACATGCCAATGTGTTGTTGTAATAATGAACTGAGATTTCCTTAATCTATGTAGAATTCTATTTATCGATAATGTACTAACTGGATGCAATACTGTAGTAAAAATGCTGAGAATTCCATTCTGTATCACAAGTACTGTTTTGGAATAAAGCAAATTATTATTATTTTCCAAACGTTTGGTAGAGCTGGGGTTTTGTCCTATGATACAGCTGCTGTGAACTTGAAATTGGGCACAGTGTGATCACTTCTTCCCAAATGAGGAATATGTTGCGGGAGGTCCACATCCTCACCGTGGGAGAACACTATGTCCAGAGTTGGAGAGGAGTGCTGTGAGTCATGATGGACTGGGGCTAGCGAAATGCTAGATTCCAGCAGATTGTAATCAAAAGGGTTGTCTGAAGATTGCGTTGTAAGGCTTGTCCAGTCAACTGCTGGAGCGTTGAGGTCGCCAGCTACGAGACTTCGACATTTCGATGTCTAGGAGTCTAGATTCGCTATTAGGAAGTCGTTTGCACTGTAGTCAGGAATGCGGCATATAGCAATGAGGTCAAACCTTGACAGTGTGTAGAAAAGCTTTGAAGTACATAAGGTGGACCAACTAAGCCGCAGAGGATGTGGCGTTGTCATCTATCTCAATAAATTCTTAACCGTGGGTAGTTTTGAAGCATTCTCTCACGAAAGCGATTCGTGCGAACTACTACACTGCAAACTTATATGCATAGGCCAGGACATTGACCTCATTGCTATATGCCGCATTCCTGACTACAGTGCAAACGACTTCCTAATAGCGAATCTAGACTCCTAGACATCGAAATGTCGAAGTCTCGTAGCTGGCGACCTCAATGCTCCAGCAGTTGACTGGACAAGCCTTACAACGCAATCTTCAGACAACCCTTTTGATTACAATCTGCTGGAATCTAGCATTTCGCTAGCCCCAGTCCAACATGACTCACAGCACTCCTCTCCAACTCTGGACATAGTGTTCTCCCACGGTGAGGATGTGGACCTCCCGCAACATATTCCTCATTTGGGAAGAAGTGATCACACTGTGCCCAATTTCAAGTTCACAGCAGCTGTATCATAGGACAAAACCCCAGCTCTACCAAACGTTTGGAAAACTGAAATAAATGCAATTGTCTTGACAGCCAACTCAGTGAACTGGTACATAAACCCACAGTACCAAGTAGAAGCCACATGAAACTAGTTTAAAGAACTTTAAGCCAAAGTAACTGAACCTTTTATCGATTGGTCGGTCCCAAAGGGCCGGAATCATTGCTTGCCTGGAAAAACCGGGATATTCGTAAGTTACTCAGACGTAAACACAAACGTTGTAGCCTGTTCGCCACACTTGCGACTCCTGAGACCATGAAAATATACAACATCGCTAGGAACAAAGCTATTGTAGAAATCCGTCAGTCAGGGATGAAATTCAGAGCACATCTGGCTCAAAATGCAACGGCACAACCTAAGAAAACTGTTTCGTGCATGAAATTGAGGAATAAGACATCCAATGGTGTCCCAAACCTGAATGTTGACAATGACACAATCGAAGAGGATCAAGGAAAAGTAGAAGCAATGTCAGACTACTTCTCCCAAGTCTTTACACAGGAGTCGTCACTCCCTATATGGTCAGCTCTGGATGCATCAGAGGAACACAAGATAGATTCCGTTGACGTCGACCAAGACATCGTGTTCCACTGCCTGGTTAAACTAGATGCAGGGAAATCTATGGGTCCTGATAATCTTCATCCAGGGCTTCTCAAATATCTATCAGCTCATATAGCCGCCCCATTGACCACGATCTTCAAGCCATCTCTCCCAAATGGAGTGTCACCGCATGACTAGAACGACGCCATAGTGACCCCCATCCACAAAGGAGGAACAAGACAAAGCCCTTCGAACTGCAGGCCTATTAGTCCCATCAGCACTTCAATCAAGACACTGGAAAGAATCATCAAGAAAAGCGTCATGGCTTATCTGGAAAACAACAATTTGTTATCCAGAGCACAGCATGGCTTCCGAGGAAACCTCTTATGCCCGTCAAATCTTCTCAATGCAAGAGAAAGCTGGGTCAGATCAGGGGAAAACAAAGGACTCGTTGACGTCGTTTCATAAACTTCAGTAAAGCCTTCGATAAAGTTCCTTACAAAAGGCTACTCACGAAGTTGGAAAGTCCTGGTATCAAAGGCAGCTTACTAAACTGGATTAGGAAATCACCCACATATAGCAGGCAGAGTGTTAGGATCAACTCGAAACTCTCCTCCTGGACAGCAGTGCATAGCGGAGTGTCACGAGGTGCGGTACTCGGACCTCTCCTATTTATTTTGCATATCGATGAGTTATCTGTGCTCACGGATTACCCAATGGTCCTATACACAGATGAATTAAAATGTGGAGAGAGCTGAAGGGCGACAGTGATATTCTCGCCTCGCAAGGGGGCCTCAACAAATGATTAGATTGGTTCAAAGAATAGATACTCCCGATCGATGTAGCGAAATGTACAGCCATGCGCATCGGACACACAAGCGTCAGCTCCTGCAAACTAGAGGGAATAAAACTCCCATCAGTTTAGACTTATTTGGATTTAGGTGTCAAAGTAAGTCACAACTTAAAAACTACAACACATTGTCACGCAGTGGGGGCACGTAGTTTCAGGTCCCTATGGTCATTCCGCAGAGTCTTTACTAGAATCACCAGAGACATGTTCATTTCCCTACATATACCTCTGGTGAGGTCAAGACTGGAATTCAAATATTCTAGAAAGGGTCCGAAGGAAGGCAACACGTGTGATTATCAGCATGACTAATTTATCATACGAGGGCAGACCAGACAGTTTAAATCTCTTCTCCCTATCATACCGTAGGTAGAGAGCAGATTTAATTACAACATTTAAAATTTTAAGTAATGACTACTAACCTGACCTATTCTCTCTTTTTCTTCTCAAGAGGTGGGAACACCTCAGAGGACACAGCAGAAGAGTTCAAAAGCCAAGAAGAAATCCTGCTACTGTCGAGTACTGGTTCTCACACCGAGTCATAAACTCTTGTAACCGACTCCCAGAATAAGTGGTGTCTGCAACCTCAACTGATTCATTCAAGAAGAGTTTGGACAACCACATAAATTTACTAGAAAAGAATCAACATAGGCCCCAAGCCTTCTATCCTCGACCAATAATCTCAAATCTTAAATCGTCTACGTCTGGAAGTTCGTTCCCCACAGCAAAATGTGAAACAGGAGAATTCTCTGCTGAAGCACGTTATGTCTACACTTGTTGAATCCTTCAAGGCAAGATTCGGCCCTCAGGGTACTGCAAACTAAGAGGATTAATGCAGGTTAAAGCCTACTATCCTTAATAATCTGCAAGCTGGTCAGTGGACGCGCTATTTACGAAGCCTGCGTTACTGCTTTTGTTTCCCCCTTAGGTATGTAAAGTGTGCATGGTACTATCGTCTACGAGCAGTTAGTACAAATTCTTTAACCTTCATTTGTCTCTATAAATAGATATCGTTTTATTCACATTCTTGAATACTTTATGATTTAGGGGAGGGAGATGTATGGATATAAAATATCGCTACTAAACCTAGTTTTACTGATTTGTTTGGTTTTAGAACTTTTTTTATAATACGACAGCAATTTATGTGATCCTTATTTTTAACACTAACACAGGGACATAAGTCACTGCCATCTTGTTGATTTTGCATCAGTCCCTGAGTCGATTAACCTAGAGAAACATGAGGTCTGCTAGTTGCGTGTGCCTTTTTGACAGAAAGAAGTAGGTATTATTGTATCTTTAGACTCCTCAAATCATCGCTAAATGCTGGTATTGGTCACCTAGACTAGTCGACTAGTCTAGACTAAAGTGACTTAAGTCATTCTCAATTGAGAATAATTTCTCAAGGAATTTCTTTTCTGGTTTCGTAGACGTGTCTCGTCTTCACAGATTTCTAGTTTATGGATAGGGCATAATGTGGTCGAATGCGTTCACTGCAAGGCTAAAATAATGTCAGCTCTTTATTGTAGCATAGAATTGTTCCTATCTGAATGGAAGGTTGATGGATCTATGGTGTGTATTTTTCTCTCTACTTGTTCAGTTTACTCGTGATAAAGCTATTTCCAGGTTTATGTTTGTATGAGAGCATACTTGTCTTTTCTGCTAATGTCAGTTTTGTATCTTCATGCCCTTTCCAGTTTGGTATTAGATTGTTGGAGGCGATCGGCAGGAAGCCTTGGACCTAGGTTTCGTGCTAGAATTCAGTCTGCACCGAAGATAGGAGTAAACACATTACACTAGTTACTGACTAGTGTGCAATCAAAAATATTCTCCAGTTTGTTTACTTGGAGAGCCATACCGTTGTTGCTATCTAGGATTTGTGTTACTGCTCACCGTTACTATTTCCTAATCTTCCTTTCCAGTCAGTCTAAGGAGTTACCCTGAAGTAAATCACACGTATCCTCGTGTGGAAACTGGACACTGATGTAGACAAACCTAGTGACTGAACTCACTGAATAGTGATTCATGGAAATCGTTAAACAAAAGTTTATTGAATAATCGATCCAATGGTTTCGCTAGTCGCATCATTCAGTTGTGTAAAACTTTTAAGGTTAAAAGTAACGATGGTCAAATTACCGATAACTGCGGTTGCTCCGATCGAGCTAAACACCAAGGTGTTTGGACTCATTCTCTCATTGAAATCTGCTTCTTGTTCAGATGATAGTTGTGCGGAGACTACTGGTGTTTCTCTTTATATCTCTTACAAATGTTTGAAACTGTGCGTCTGTATTTTCCCTGGTTGACAGTTTTGTTCTGTTTTGCTGCGGATTCTTTCGTTTGTGGTAAGAAATGATGTATGGGAAGTCGTTTCATCAAATTGGTGAATGTATTTGCTTACCCTTCTTTGATTCTTGCTAATCTGCCTAGTAAATTCTGACTTTGTCTTTGAATAACAACAATGTCATATTATGAGTCTAGTGGTGAGCGGTGGAAATTGTTGTTTTCGTGGAGAATATCTGGGTGTATTAGTATTCAAACTGCAGCGATACAACTTGCCGTACTTTTTCGCATAAATTTCGCTTGTCATCACTTGCATTGTGAATCCCCATGGTACAGTATATTCGTATGTGACAGAGTTTTGAAGAGAGGTATAAAGAGATTAATTGTAGTGTATGTTTAAACGTGGAATTGAGTTTAATTTCAATTTATGTTTGTCTTCTTACATTTAATAATTCTTACTGGAGTATACGTGTATGTTTTTGATAGTGGTTAGGCGTCATTCTCGTGATGTTAAGGTATTCTGTGAAAGTTATTGTTAATTGGTATTACTGGCGAAATGTTTTTTGACAAGCTTTTTGTCCATTTTGTGTATCATTTTTTCAGTATTTGAAAGCTATTTCTTGATCACATTTAGTGTTTGTTGTAACAAGGAATTAAGCATAAAATGTGATATTTCGGTGTATGACTTACTTCATGTGTAATGTTTGTAATGTAATGTAATGGTTGCAGGCTTAATATTGAAACAAATAAAGTGTAATTCAGGGAAGCGTGCGGAGCTTTTTGAACTTGGAAGACTATAAAGTGTGAATGCCTTTAGATTATTTAGAACGATTTTGATCTGTCACCAACAGTTTTCAGTGCTTGTTGTCAGTGTCTCTGGGTCTTAGCCAGGGAGTCTACACCTCTCTTTGTAACTCAAACCTGCTGTCAAACATATCATGGATTGATACCATGTTTCAGTTCCTCCATCTGTAACTCCTTTGAAACTGATCTTATATCAGCTAACATTTTGCTGTTTGGCAGACGATGGTATTTTAGTCGATGCAGTTTCACATCGTCATCGATTAGTTTCCCCTTCTTACCTAACATTCAGTTATAATCCTGATATTAATCACCATATTGTACCATTTAAGACAAGAGGTAGAACATAAATTGTTATGTTCAAAGACGACTAACGTCTTCATGTCATTCACCTTCAGCGACTAGCGTTACAACTATCAAGAAGGCTGGAGTAAACTGCCTAGCAGTTCACATGTCCTTTGAGGGACATCATGTCTATGCGTCGGGTGGTGAAAGCTGATAAATTCCAGGTCAGTCTTTTGTATCTAAGCGGAGATCTCGTCAGTCATATGTACATTACGGGTTGATGAAATTTCACAAATAAATGAAGTGGCTTGTGCATTCATCCTACACAGATTGGCAGCCATGTAAATGAAAATAGTACACTTTGGGCACCAATGGTATGAGGACTGTCGCATCTACTTTTTGTGTGGAGTGTATTCTTTATCTTCATACCTCAAAAGAGATGAAATTCATGGAAGAAATTTATGTAATAAGATTATTTAGGCTTTTTTTGAACTTAGTTCCCTTAACAGGTCCTTATTATTTGAGGGAATGAGCCCTTCTTATTGTATGAGGGCTGATAATACTACTCGGTTACCAAAGCTGAAATAGATAGAATGGGATTGGAACCCCGGACATACCAACTTAAAGTCGAGCATTGAAGCCAGGGAGCCATATGTCCACTTGAAGGGTGCCTATTATCTTTGTAATATGACAATATTAGATTATGTGTGTTTTCCTCCTAATGATAGTAACAGTTGTAATAAGACTTATATGAACTTCATTAAATTGTTGTGAAAGTTTATTCCATATTAGTTTGTTTATTAGATGTATCACACAGTCAGTGAAACAGTATTATTATTTACTGGATGACAAAGTTTCGAACAAAATTTATTCATTGTTCATAATCATATCAATTATAATCACACGACTTCGAAACTTGAGTTTTATAGTTTTCTTTGTTCTCTCCTATTTGTCGTCGTTGGGGTAGTAGAATTTTTCAGATATCTGGGTGGACAGATGTTGAATCATTCCTATTACACGTATTCTCTTCAGTTGATTCGATAAACAAAGCTTCTGTTATCAATCTCTCCTTCCACCCTGTTAGTTTCATTAGATTTTAAAACTGTCATCTCAGCCCATTGTATAGTTGTGTGTAATTGCATTTAGTGAGTGCTATAGCTGAACTATTCTCTAGATTTCTTATCTTATTCGGGTTTGAGCTCCAGCCACTTTTATTCCTGCCTTGTTAAGAATTCTCCGCCGTAAGTGGTTTCCGAGATTCCTTCCTTGTATGGAATTACTACTGATGATTTTGTTGGTGTTGTGAAAGTTTAGTGTATCTCTTTTGACTGTCCGTTTCAACTAGTTCCATTTGTGTCCTTCAAATTACATAAAGTCATTAGAAAAGTTACTTAAACAGTAGCTCAAGCTCGATAAATTCATCCCATTCTAAACGAGCATAGCATCTAACAAAAGACTTTATTTTTTTCAATGTTTCGTTACAATCTTGGTCGTCTTTTTGTTCGGGAAACTTCATTTAGCACTCCGTTGTAATCTACTAACACTCCTTGAACCTTTTATTGAAAATTATCCATAAACTATAATTTGTTACGAAATTCCTGACCAATATTATTCGTGTGTTTACAGTATAACTCTTCAATTTCATAATGCAGGTTGTAAGCATTTGGAATAAACTGTTTTTATAACTCCTTTCAAGATCACACAATTATCAAAATATCTATCAAACAGGAATTAGTAGTCAACTTTTCCGACAAGCTATAAAGGTACAACAGTAAGACCAAACTTCATTGTACACACTTTTTTGCAGTCATTGAGATAGTGTTATTCTAAAATTTCTAACAGTCTTCAGGACATAGGATTCACTGCATTTAGAAGTACTAAAACTAAGAGCACTATGCTTAAAAGACACCTTATTATCCTCGAAAATATTCGTAGAAATTAGTTATCAAGTTAGTGGAATATAAACACTTTGAATTACGTCCTAACCTAGGCTATCGCAGGAAAAGAGGTGATCTCATCACAGTGAATGAGAAACGCCTACGAAGAAAGTTGAGATAAAGAAGTATCTCTAAACTTGTGAACAGTCCGTCATTGCTCGAGAACTTGTTGTCTTAAAACTGAATTCCAGAAGATGCTAGGAAGTCACTTAGTTTCAGATCACATCTCTTTTTTGTGATTTCCTTAATCGCTAGATTGAAGATATTATACAATTCAGTGACTCTAACCAGTTCAGGTGTTAAAAATTGACACGTAAGTTTAGTAGCTTTTCATTAGCTCTATGGACTTTAATTTACATATCTATAATAGACTTAGGACGATGGGAAGGTAAACACTAGTGTTTACAGGAAACCCACACACTCCAACAGATATTTGGACTTCCGATCATCCCATCCTATGTCAGTAAAAATAGGATTGGTGAAATGTTTAAATGACAGAGCACAAAAATTAAGTAGTACCAAAGAAAATCTAAAACAAGAACTGATACACATAAAAGAAGCCTTAAAACTTAATAATTACCCGGATAAATTAGTCAGGAAATATGTAAGGAAATGTAAAAATAAAATAAATAATGATAGTAGCGATAGTGATAATAATAACAGTGATAATAATAATAATATTAATGAAGACACCAACAATAAACAATCTAAATCATCAGTAGTAATTCCATACAAGGAAGGAACCTCGGAAGCCTTACGCAGAATTCTTAACAAGGCAGGAATAAAAACGGCATTCAAACCAACCACAAACTCAATTAGGAACAAGCTTTGTCGGTTAAATGGTAGATCCTTTAAAACAAAACAATTTAGTTTATCTAATACCCTGCAATGATTGTCAGGTCAAATACATAGGTCAAACTAGTAGAACAGGGGCAGTCAGACTAGCTGAACATAAAAACTTAGCAAAATCTAGATTGGTTGACCCGAATAAGATAAGAAATCTAGAGAATAGTTCAGCTATAGCACTACATGCAGTCACACACAACCATACAATAGGATGGGATAGGATGACAGTTTTAAAATCTAATGTCACAGGGTATAGGGAGAGATTGATAACAGAAGCTTTGTTTATCGAATCAACTACAAACACATGTAATAGGAATGATTCATCACCTGTCCCCGATATTTGGAAAATTCTACTACCCATACGACAAATAGGAGAGAACAAAGAAAACTATAAAACTCAAGTGTCAAAGTCGTGTGATCACAATTGATATGATTATGAACAATAAATTTTGTTCGAAACGTCATCCAATAAATAATACTGTTTCACTGTGTGATATACCTAATAAACAAACTCATATGGAATTACTTACTACCACAGTGCCCAAGTTTTACACATATATTAATAGACTTAGGACGATTGAAATTGCATCTTCACTTAAGCACACGGTGTAAGACGCTTTTCTGGAATTTTCACGTAATTCATCTATTTATTTTGTTCCTTCACGTTCGCAGTGGAACATAGGGGGGCTTCAAACTAGAGGCTTGAAGTTTCTGTAGCAGTCGTCTTTATTTTTACTCGCCAACCTTTCCTCTTTACCAGCTTTATTTCTGGCTTAGCTAGGTAAAGGAGTGTGGCGTCGGTGGCCGGGAATCGAACCCCGAATGTTTTATGTATGCCTAGTCATCGCCTTCCTCGGCGGGCAATGTTAGCTGACATAGGGTCAGGCTGGAAAAGAGCTAGTGGCGGTCAAACCAAAACATGTCACCAGTGAATGAAATCTACAACAGTTAGTCTAAGCCTCGTAGGAAGGTGTAGGCTTCCTGATTAGTTGGGGTCCTCGGAATGGTAAAAACCAATGGAGACTGGAGACAATTGGTGACATGGCTCAAAATCGTTCTCAATGGCGCAGATGCATCCACTCCTTGTGACTCATGATTTCTAATGAAACTGTTTTGTTCTTCGTTATTACTACTCCTTTGTCTCACACCTCTGTTTACTGTCTCTAATATGCATTTCTTCTCTTGCTTTGCGTGCTACATGGATTGTGGCGACTTGAACTGCCGCACATATGTGCAAAGTTCTATGTCGAAAACCGACCGACCGAACCACGTGCATGGTTGGCGAGCGTCCTAACCTCTGTACCACCGACGCACGTAATTCGCTGTGTATATTGCTCTCCTACACTAGTTGTTAATATTGATTCTAAGTGCCAGATTTCTTCCTTATACCGATAATGCCTAAAACTTCACTTCGTAAAACATAAAAATGTTAAAGCTTCACCTTCACGAGGAGACATTTCTACCTATTTCATCCAATTAAGTTTTAGAGTGGAGTTAAGGAACAAGAGTTTTAAATGCGAATTCGACGATTCGATTTTCTAATTACAAGATGTCTACCATATTTGAGCAGTTCCACCTTCGCCTACTTATTTTTTTTAGTTACTACCCAAATTTCAGACCTCTCCAACTGAAGGATGCCATTCTTGAAAGGTGGAAGAGCAGCAGTAACTAGAACAAAAAAGTACTTGGAAGCTGGACGAATAATTTTAAATGATGGTGTCAAAATTATGGTTATCAATCATATTCCCGGGGCTGAAATATCGCATGGATGCGATGAATTCATTAAATGGCATCTACCACCATTACAATTTCGAAATCCAAACGTTCAGGTAAGTAAGTAATATATGTTCAAACCAAGTTCACTTTTAACAGTTTGAAAAAAATTTCGGCATTGGATGGTATAAGATATTCATTATAATAAAGGTTTTATTTTGTATTTCCCAATGAACGAAAAGCAAAACGATAATGTTGTGGTTTTTACTGACGTTTCGCTGCTGCTAATAGCTTTGTCAAAACATTATTATTAAACCAGAATTTACAAAATCTCAACTTATATATAACAACTTAATCATTGTTCCTCAGCATGAAGTAATTCTCTTTACGTTGTCAAACAGGCTAATCGGTAAGGATGACAAAGCCAGGTAGGTGTAGATTGTTGGATTTGATAAGTGTGTAAAATTTTACAAAAGCAGTGTGTGTTTACATAATGAAATTGCTAAAACGAGATCTACACAGTTCACTCCTGGAAAAAATGAACTGTGTATCTCCCAGAATCCAGTTTACTTTGGAAACAGGCAAAATCAGACGTCGGTGAACTATCATTTCTAGACTGCCTGACTAGCTAAGAGGAGGGAAGACGGACATTTTAGTATATTTATGTTCAGGATGAAAAGCCACTCCAACAAATATTTAAACTTCGAATCATCACACCCCATCAGCGCAAAGGTATCAGTTGTTTTAAGTCTCCTTAGACGAGCACACTCTTTGATGTGAACGGATAAGAAAAAGAAGAAGAAATATCAAACATTACTGAAACTCTCCTCAAGCGAAACAACTACCCAAGGAACTTCATCAACAAAATCGACACTGACATTAAGTATGGTCGAGAACGTATTCCGTAAACATCGACCTCAACAGTTGTCATTCCATATAGAGCAGAGACGTCAGACGATATCAGAAAAGTACTCAATAAACTTGACATCAGAGTTTTCTTCAAAAGATCAGACACACTGTGAAACAACCTTGTCCATATAAGAGACCGAATCCCTAAAGATTCTCCGTCTAATTGTGTCTATACAATAAAGTGCTTGAAATGTGATGCGATATACATCGACAAACATCTCGAGAAATCAAAATCAGAAGAAATGAACACCGTAGATTAGGTGTCTGTCCGACCACCGAGAAATCCGGTTGAACAAGAAAAGCTTGAAAAATCATCAGCCAGCCCTAGGTTGTCTATACGATATAGAATCAGGCCACAAAATTGATTTTGACAATACTGAAATAGTCCAGAAAAACTTCGGAAATCACAAAGAACGTCTAATATCATCAGAAGCACTTCATATCAAGTGGAATCCAAATTGTGTGATTAACAGGAATGATGAAGTAAAACAGAATTTCACCTGGTTACAACATGCACACACCCTCCCCCATGAAGTGACAAAATCAACACGAATGTGATAAGTAATTTCCCTATGTAAACACACTGCTTTTGTATGATTTTACACACTTATCAAATCCAACAGTCATCTACACCTACCTGGTTTTGTTATCTTTACCAATTGGCCTATTTGACAGCGAAAAATGACCACATGTTGAGGAGTAATGATGAACGAAGTTGTTATATATAAGCTGAGTGGACTTTGTAAATGGTGGGGGTATGTAGATTACACATTCACTGTACTTAGAACACAGGATAAAGATAGATTTTTCGAACACATTAACTCAAATGTGGAGGCAATTCAATTCACTTATTATTTGAAAAGTCAGGAAGGGGAGATACTAATGTTAGATTGTAGCGTTAAAAGGAAAGAAGATGGTAAGTTAAACACACACTAGTGTTTACAGGAAATCCGCACATTCAAACAGATATTTGAATTTCTGATCATCCCATCTCATGTCAGTGAAAATAAGATTGGTGAAATGTTTAAGCGACAGAGCACAAAAACTAAGTAGTACCAAGGAAAATCTAAGACAGGAAGTGAGACATATAAGAGAAGCTTTGAAACTTAATAATTACCCTGATAAATTAGTCAGAAAGTATGTGGGGAAATGTAAAAATAAAATAAATAATGATAGTAGTGATAATAATGATAGTAATATTAATGATGACATGCATGTCAAACATGCACAGGATAGTGACAGCACCAACAATAAGGAATCTAAATCACCAGTAGTAATTCCATACAAGGAAGGAACCTCGGGAACCTTACGGTGGAGAATTCTTAACAAGGCAGGAATAAAAGTGGCTGGTGTTCAAACCCACTCAAACTCAATTATAAACAAGTTTTGTCGGTTAAATGGTGTATCCTGTGGAGCCTTTAAAACTAAACAATTTAGTTTATCTAATACACTGTCTGCCAGGTCAAATTAGTAGAACAGGGGTAGTCAAACCAGTCGAGCATAAAAACCCAGCAGCAAAATCTAGATTAGTTGACCCGAATAAGATAAGAAATCTAGATAATAGTTCAGCTATAGCACTCACTAAACGCAATTACACACAACTATACAATATTATGGATGGGATAAGATGACATTTTTAAAATCGAATCTAATGTAACATAGTTGAGGGAGAGATTGATAACCGACGCTTTGTTTATCGAATCAACTGAAGAGAATACGTGTAATAGGAATGATTCAACACTTGTCCCAGATATCTGAAAAATTCTACTTCCCTAATGGCGATGGATAAGAGAGATAAAGCTATTAGCAGCAGCATTAATGAATAGCGAAACGTCAGTAAAAACGACAACAATATCGTTTTGTTTTTCATTCATTGGGAAATACAGAAAAGCCTTTATTATAATGTTCAGGTAAGTAGATCAAAGTTGGTGCATGTGTTAAATTCACTAATTTCATTTTGTTTTTATTTTTCAAACAGATAATTACATTCAAAAATATGTTTCCAACACCATTCATTAAAGTATATCTTGAAAAAGATGAAGAACAGGTGGTCAATTGTGCTTTTCGTAAAAATGCCGATATCTATGATCATTTGCACACACTGCTTGGAAAGACAACTTCACAATCGGATGAGTCATTAGCAGTAAATGATCAGACTACAAGAAACCCGTCGAATTTTGGAACAGAGTAAGTTTTTGGTATTTATAAGGTGGTGATGTGATTAATTGTCATTTCTTTTTTTAACCGTATGTATAGTTTCCCACGTCAGTGTATCTGTGAAGTATATGGACAAATGCCGTGTTCATCTCATATAGGCAAACCAAAATTATGGTCACATTTACAATATACCCTACCATCAGTCGATTTGGAGACGATTATACCTCGGAAATAATTAGTCAGACTATTTGAATATTATTACTTGTATGTGTATATAGGTATTTTTAAGAAGCATGTTATTATTCCTGCTCCTTTTTTAAATAATAATATACTTTATTCCAAAAACAGTACTTATAATACAGAATGGAATTCTCAGCATTTGTCACAATATTGCATCTGATTTACTCAGAATTTAAATAAAATTAACCAGAGGAATTTGTCCACATTTATGATATAAAGTCAAAAATATTTGAAGTATGAATTGAGATTATTAAATATAATAATAATATTAAAAATAATAATAAAAACAGTGAGTTTGTTTCAAACAGCATTTGTGATTCAGTTTGGAAATTTTAGCATGTTTTAGATTATTGAGTCTAATATTCTGTTGATATAGTACCGTGAGGGGAAATACAAAATTAACAGTTATAACACAGCTCGAATGATGTTCACACTTATGAAAAAATAAACGAAAACAAAAAAAATGAGGGGATTATAAATAAAAGAAGTACAATACCAATAAAGGTTGATGTTGTAAGGATGGAGGAAAATGGTTAATTTAACAGTGCAAAGAAGGTTAGTTAGTTCATGTCTGACACTGTTTTCATCACATGAAATACGTGCCAAATATGGTATAGTGAAATTTTTATACTTAGACGTACGTGCATAAAGTCCTCTGAAAAGACTTCTTGTTTTACCTGAGGAGACACAAGATTGGAGCTGCGGGTAAAATGGATGCTCACAGTCTGACGAAATTCCTTTAGCAAATTTTTTGCATGAAATCAAGTGCCTATCATCAATGACAGTGTCAAATATGTGGCCTAATGGGATACCACCACTTGCCCTACTGACAGTCAGTCCTCAGAGTTCTACGAAGTATGACATAGTCTTTTTTAAGCAATCCAGGAAAGAATAAGGGTGAAGAGTAAAGAAGAATAGGTAAGATGCACGAGTTGATAAACTATAAGAGGAGGGGTTTGAGTTATACCTGAGTGACTTAACTTCTTAGTGTGAAAAGTCAGACGAAACATTCTTTTAGAAATCGCTAAGACATGGGAAGACCAGGATAGGTCAGTAGAAAGGATTAATCCAAGATACTTAACTTCAGACTTGATTTCTATATCACTATCATCAATTTTGCAAGGGTCGTAGGAACCAACGGCTTCATTCAACTTTAGTTTACATCGGAAGCTGAAATTAACAGTCTGACATTTGGAAGGATTCAGTTTAAGACCATTTGCTAACTCCTGATAGAAAGCTGTTCATCTTAATACAGTCTAGCTGGGAGTTAACAGACATTGAAATTGTTAGATCATCGGCATACTTAACAAAGTTCATTTCGTCATCAGAGTGAGGCAAGTCATGCAAGAGGAAAGAAAACAGAAAAGGAGAAAGGACAGCGCCGTGAGGGACACCAGCCTCAGTAAGCAACGAAGTGGACAACTTTCTCTGACATACAGTGTACTGCTTTCTTCCTGAGAAATAAGAATGCAGCCATTTGACAACCCAATGTAGAGAGGTTACTTTTTTCTGGAAAATTCTTTCCCTACGTTACTCTTCTATCATAGTCTCTCACATACTACTTATGTATTGATTTGAAAGGTTGAATTATCAAATAAAGTTTTACCATGTCGACCAAATTACTCGAACCACTGGAGTGCGTTGTTTTTCAGTTGTTTAATTCCTGAACTGTAGTAATTTGCTGTATTCGATTCCCCTCAATGAAGCAGAGTTACTCCCCTTTTAGGTGATATCATTCTCAAGCTGTACAGTCGCGTGTACATAATAGATTCTCTCAGCAACAAAAGGAATATTACCATAGATGTGGCACTTTTTTTTAATTCCTTCACGTTCCCAGTGGAAAATAGGGGGCTTCAAACTAGAGGCTTGAAGTTTCCATAGCAGTGGTATTATTTTACAGGATGGGTTGCTAGCCTCATGCCCGCCAACCTTTCCTCATTGCCAGTTCTATTACTGGCTTAGCGAGATAAAGGAGTGTGGTGGCGTCGGTGGCCGGGGATCGAACCCTGGACCATGTGCATAGCTGGCGAGCGTCCTAACCAATGTGCCATCGATGCACTTAGATGAATCGTTAGAATTGGCAATATTTAGATAAAAAATCACGTAATTGGGTAAAAAAAAATTTGAACCAGAGTCAAGTTAGCAACAGAGGGTAATAAGAGTTAGAAATTTAATTAGGGGGGTGAGGACAGAAACATTGAGAAATCGCCTATCCAGCTTGTTGGGGGAAACCTTTGCGACTGACCTTCTCCGTTGATCCAACAGAAAAAAGTGGAGAAACAACACTAATTGAGTCACTAAAAAAAGACTTAAACAACAACGTGGCATCATAGAAGGTTTATATGAATCTCTAAAGCCTACTGGTACGGTTACACCAAGATAATATGGACTAGCAAAAGTGTATTAAAATTGGTTTGCCACTTCGACCAGTGTTGGACATGTGTAATTCCCCATATCACACAACAGCAAAATGGTTAGTGAAGCTCTTGAAACCTCTGCATAATGAACTGGTAGAACATAGAGTAAACGATAGTTTTGAATTTGTTGAAAAAATAAGAGATCTTAATGTGAGGGACAAGTTTATGATATCTTTTGATGTATCCTCCCTGTTCACCAATGTACGGTTAATGGAGACAGTGGATTTTATATGTGATGAGATTACTGAGCCGAAACATGGAAATCGGCATTTCTGTATCCTTCTTGAAGGAACTTATTTTAAGATGTACAATGAATGTTCATTTCTTATTCAATAAGGAATATTACAGACAAACTGATGGTGTAGCTATGGGTTCCCCATTAGGTCCAATCCTAGCTGATTGTTTCCTCGCTAAGTTAGAGAATGGACCACTGAAAGGAGTAATTAATGACTTGGATTTCTACTGTCGATATATGGATGATACATTTCTGGTTATGAAAGACGAGAATGATGCAATGAATATCCTTGACAAGTTTAATGATGCACATTCAGCAATAAACTTTACCATAGAGAGAAAGAAAGTAATGACAGTATCTCATTCCTAGA